TCTAAATGGAGTCTGAGGCAGATTAAGGCGTATTGATGATTAACTCTGTTTCACATCTCTGTATATTCTGTCCACTGGTGTACAGATTTGACATCTAACTGCCACAAATAAACAATCAGAGCGGAACGTTTATCTGATTTAATGGGATTTTCCCTCCTTCTGTCCTGCAGGTGGGCAAGCGGTGCCTCAGGACCCCTTACCTTCCTCCACCTGCCCTCCGGGGCCCCCGGGGCCTCCGGCTGTGGCCAACGGCAGCAGTGAGATCATGGTGAACTTTGACCCCGACCCGGCGGACCTGGCGCTGTCCAGCGTGCCGGGACAGGAGGCGTTCGACCCGCGGAGGCATCGCTTCACAGAGGACGAGCTCAAACCTCAGCCCATGATCAAGAAGGCCCGAAAAATGCTGGTCCCCGATGAGCAGAAGGTACTACATCTCCCACAATCCATTTCTGCTCAGCATACAGACACCAAGCCTGAAACCATTTCTAACTAATGTTTACACTTAAACTCACAACAGAACTTATGTGCTGCTCAAAAATAGCCAAAAGTGATCTTTTTCTAAATAGATCATTGTTACCAGTTCTTAGGGGTGTTGAATGGGTTAAATGGTATAACATTTGGGTCAGTTTTAACAGTGATCAGTCTTTACTTTGATGTTTTCTTAAAATATCAGGACAAAACGCAGTGTGAGCTGTTGGTTCTTTACTTCTGGTCGTTTTTAATTCACTATTCCTATTTCCGGAGGTTCCTTTCAGGAATTTTCTGTAGCCTTCTATGTTTTAAACATCCTTACAGCCGATAAGTTTCCACAAGACTAAAATATCTTCAAAAGCCAAGGCTCGAACACGAGTTCATCAGATTAGAATAACATCTGGAAAAAGAAGTAAGGCGTTGAATTAAAAGGAGAGGAAAGCCTTTTGAAGTCCGGAGACCGGTGAAGGAAACGTCTGTGAAGACAAAAGCTGCTCAGTCTCGCAGACAGCTCGGCAGAATTCACCTTTTTCTTTGAGTATCCGCTTCAAACAGAGGCGGCAGGAGCCCGGTCTAGCTCACAGAGCTGAACTCCATCATGATAAAGGCCGGAGCTCTTTGACAGCTCCCGTGCTGATGTGGAAAAAACTTAAGGGAGCGTGACGCCCACTGGTATTGATGCCTCCTGACCAGAGCCCTAAAATATTTTGTACTCAGCTCATTGCACAGTAGGAGAAGCTGTGATCAATGGCTCATGCTTTCACAGCCCAGCGCAGAGCAGCTGCAGCTCCTGAGGCGTTCATAATTTATGGAGGGATGAAGGCGCTCACCTTGCCGCGCTCGGTCGGCGTTGGTTCTATAAATCATTTTCGGAGGAGCGGTTAAAGATGGAGCTCAGATCCTCGTGAGCAGGCTTTTAGGTCCTGCTCCGAAAATCGAATCCGGCTCTGATTAGAGGACAACATGATCCGGATTGCAGCCTAAATCAGCCATCTAATGCGCAGTGTGAGGGAAAAGTCTCAGACAGGCAGATAAACACACAGCCTACACAACAAAACCCTCCAAACAGATGTAACGTGTCCCCTCGGAGGCTCATTTCTGCTGCTAACACGACAAGAATTCCCA